GATGTAACAGAAAAAGAAATATCTGAGAAGAAGAAATTTAATACACAGCAGATAGCACAATTAAATGAACCTTTTACTATGTGCGAAATAACTGAATATTAAGTCTGGGAAGAAAGGGAAAACACCAGGGCCAGATGGAATTCCGATGGAATTCTATCAAAAATTTGAGGAGCAACTAGCAGATCAATTTAAAAGTACTTTGCAAAATATAGCTAAAACAAAGAAAATCCCGGCTTCATGGAAAGAAGCAAGTATAACATTAATACACAAGCCAGAGTCCAAAGAATCAGAAATTAAAAAAAAACTATAGACCTATCTCTCTTTTAAATGTGGATTATAAATTATTTACAAAAATATTAGCAAGTAGGTTAAAAAGAGTCCTGGTACAAATAATCCATACTAATCAATCGGGATTTTTGCCCAAAAGGAAAATACAAAATAACATAAGGAACGTGATAAATATTTTAGAGCACTTTGAACAGCACCCAGGCAGTCCAGTAGCAATTACACTGTTGGACGCTGAGAAAGCGTTTGACAATGTTAATTGGAAATTTATGCTACAAAAATTTAGGAAATGGGAATGCGGAGATAATTTCTTCATATGGCTACAGACAATATATGAAACACAGCATGCTAAAATGATAGTCAATGGAGAACTTACAAATAGTATACAAATAGTATACAAATAGTATACAAAAAGGAACAAGACAGGGCTGCCCATTATCACCTTTACTATTTATTTTTGTACTAGAAACACTAACAAATAGATTGAAAGTAGGAAAGGAAACGTTCAAACTTCAGGCTTTTGCAGACGATTTAATATTCATAACAGAAAACCCTGATCAATCCCTGGTACATCTAAGAGACGAAATACAAGAATATGGTAAAGTAGCGGGGTTGAAAATAAATTTTCATAAAACTAAAATAATAACTAAAAACTGTGAGGAAAGTTTAAAACAAAAGATTAAAAACGTTACGAAAATGGAAATAGTCGAGAAAGCAAAGTACTTAGGAATCTGGTTAACAAGCAATACCTCCACATTATTTGAAGATAATTACATGAAACTATTAAAAGAAATAAAGGGAGACTTAATAAGATGGGGAAAATTGCATCTATCACTATTAGGTCGGATAGCAACCATTAAAATGAATATCTTGCCGAAATTTTTATTCTTAGCGCAAAATTTACCAATATAAAAATCATATAAATACTTTAATGAATTAAATAAAATAGTAGGGAAATTTATTTGGGAATCAAAAAAACCACGAATTAATTTGAAACACCTACAAAGATGGAAAGAAAATGGTGGCTTTGCACTACCAAATTGGCAGATATATTATTCAGCAGCCTCGATGGAATGGTTAAGAGATTGGGTTAAATTAGAAAATGAAAGAGTATTGGCTTTGGAAGGAGAGGGATTAGCAATGGGGTGGCATGCATACCTTTGGTATGACAAAGGGAAAATACATGCCAACTTTCACACACATATAATAAAACGGGCATTGATTAAAGTCTGGAATGAAATAAAGAAAAAGAATTATACAAAACTCCCACTATGGATATCCCCACTAGAGGCTTTTACATTATCGACATTAGTAACTGCAAGGAAGAAGGTAACATACAACAATCTACTGACAAAAGAAATGACATTGAAACCAGATGGCATGTTAGAAGAACAAGGGATAGTATTGACATGGTGGGATAAAAATATAATACGAACAAGGTTTAATATAGATAAAAAATAGGCTTTTATGATAGCTCATCAGAATTAGACAAAATTTGGCTCTCGACAAGCGATAAGTTAATACAAAGAATGTATAAAAAACTGCTGAAAGACGGGGATCTAGAAGCAGAAATGAATGATCTTAAATGCAGATGGGAAAAAGAAATAGGCCACAAATTAAACGAAAATAGCTGGAAAAAAATATGGAAGTCGATTAAAATGACGAGAGCTGTGCCACTTAAAGAAAACATATATAAAATATATTACAGATGGCACTGGACACCAAACAAGATTGCAAAATGCTTCCCCAATGCCTCCAACAAATGCTGGAGATGTAAGAAAAACACAGGAACATTTATGCATATTTGGTGGAATTGTAAAAAAATTCAAAAATTTTGGAAAAAATTGCAAAGAATGCTAAATAAAATGCTAAAAATAAACATGCCCCTATCACCAGAGATATTTTTGCTAAACATGATCCCCGATGAAATTAAAAACTATAACCATATAGTTACATATACGACAACGGCGGCCAGAATATTAATTGCAAAAAGATGGAAAACATGCACTTTACCCTCTATAAGAGAATTAAAAAATAAAATACTAGAAATAGCAGAGATGGATAGAGTCAACATGGAACTAAAACAAAAACCAGAAGAAAAACACTGGGATAGATGGAAACCTATATATAAATGGTTAGGGATAAAGAGGATTACAACAGATGGGAGATAAGCTAGCACGTATATAGAAAAGGGAAAAGATATAAGCGTGAGCACTACTTAACAGAAATTAAATGAAAAGGATATAATGATGGTATGGAAATGTAAATTGTAAATATAGGCAAATATGTTGAACTGTGAGATATGGATATAGTAATATTTTGAAGATTGTTAAGCAGTGAAAAAAATTGTTAAAAATTAAATAGAGTTGTTAAAAAAAGAAAAAAAAGAAACAGTGCTGTGAACGTGCTTTGAGCTCTCTTTGTATTGTATGTACGGCTATAGCATATCCGCAAACCAAACACTGATCTGCTATATCTGCATTTCTCATTGGCTGGCTGCTTCATTGTTTCTCCCCCTGGGGCGGGGGATGGGTGGGTGGGGAATGAAGGACCTGCAGCTAGTTGTCAGAAGTGGGAAGAGGGTGCAAGTATGAGGCGGCAGCCGCAATAGCAAGGAACAGCTGAATGAGCAGAGAAGCCTGCAGCTGAGGGCTTCTGCCCCTGGGCTGGTTTGTCCTGCAAGGCGCCATCTGAACCCCTCCTGCTGCCGGCAAAGAAAGCAAAACGTAGCTGCCTCCTGTCAAGGGCAGCTTACTTCAAGATGCTTCGCTCCCTGCCAGGAGGAGGCAGGGACAAAGTGCACAGCCACAAGCAAGTGTGGCTGAAGCACATCAGTGGATGTTTCACTGAGGCGACAGGGAGAGTTCAAGGCCTCTCTAGAGCAGTGTGGACTCTCTTTTTAAGATGCCTCTGTGGACACCCTCATAAGATCAATAGAGGCCCAACAGCAGGGTGGCTTCCAGAGCTTAGAAGCTGTGCATATATTTGTGGTAAGATTTCCTGTCTTTATATATATGAACAGAGGTCATTTTGGGGGGGAACGCGGGGGATCGCAGTCCCCCTGGGTGAGGTGCAGGGGGGCGGGGCACATGACGAAGCCCCGCCCGCTGCTTCTGGCCGCCCCGCTTCCGGCCCTCATTCAGCCAGGAGGAGGCAGGAGAAGAGGGAGGGTAAGTTGCTTCCTCCCCGCCTCTCCCCACCCCTGCCTGCCTGGGGCCAGGGAGGGCCTTGGCGGGGCTTCCTCGCCCTCCCGCCGGCCTTGCAGGTCCACCGCCGGGCCCCTGATGTCAGGGGGTGTGGCATATGCTAATGAGTCATGCTAATGAGTTCCCCTAGCTCTTTTTCTACGAAATGACCCCTGTTTGAATACTAAGAGATCTTGGCTTCCCACCCACCAGCCTTCTGGAGGTTGTAATAGTAATATACTTTATTGTCATTGTACATAGTACAACGAAATTAAGATGCAATCATTTCGGTGATCCACAACAATATTCATACGCTCCCACAACCATTCACAACTATCTCTTAACTCCCCTAAGGTTCACATAGCAACTTAAAGCCACTAATGTCACCCAAATTCCAATTTCATACAGCACTTAAGGCAATAATAGCTCTCGAATAAAAAACTATTTTTTAATCTGTTTGTCCTTGTTTTAATTGTCCTATATCTTCTGCCCGAAGGCAGCAGTTCAAACAGGGAATGTCCAGGGTGTGACAAATCCTGCAGAATGTTCTTTGCTTTTTTCAAACATTGAGAACTATACAATTCCTCCAGGAATGGGAGGGGGCAGCCAGTGATCTTCTGGGCTGTGATGATAACTCTCTGGAGTGCTTTCCTATCCACAGCCATACAACTGGCAAACCAAGTGAGCTCTCAAGTGAGAGGCAAGCAAGACTGTGGCTGAAATTTGCTTCAGGGAGCAGCAACCTGGCATCTGGCCACCCTCCTTTTTCTTAAGAACATGGAGAATAAAACATTGTAAGGCACGGTGAGTCCTTTTGGAAAGATAAATAAGTAATCACAACACTTCAGATGTTGGCTCCCTGCTACACACTGGGTAGCTGTCTGCCCGCTGGACTATGAACGAACATCAGCGTTCAGATCTGAGAGCCTATATTTAGAACTCTTCCCAGAACATTTACTAATATCTAAAAACTGTTCACTGTGAAGTAAGAAATAAAATGGATTACTTCGTGAAGTAATAAAAATAATGCTCCATTTGGATAAAGCATTCAACACTTAAATAAAACCCAGCAGCATTCAGAGTCTTTCAGAACTGTAAGGTTATCATTTCGGAATGCCAGAATTCCAGGGCAGAGTTATTACATTTCATGGCAGCAAGTCTTCAGACAGTTACTCATGTGCAGGGACTAATGGCCAAGACCCAAAAAACCCTAGTTCTGCAAAGCCTGAGGGGTTTTTATGCTGGTGTTTTGCTAATAGAAAACTCCCATGCAATTTAAAAACCATTTCTGAAACAAAGTGGCGTTTTAAAGGCAATTTCAGGTATGAAGGAACGTCTGTTCTTTAAACAAAAACAAAGCCACTTGGCATGCAGACCCAGGGCACACCTTAAAAAGCTCTTTGCATCTAGTTGCTGATTTCGATGGACTTAACTGGTTGATAGCTAGGTAGAAACTCACTTAATAACTGTACAATACAAATGTGAACTACTTTAAATTGAAAAAAGGATGGGGAAAAGAACAAACCAAACCTGCTTGAAGTACTTTAAGGAAAACTGATACATCGGATCGATTTCTGACAGGCTTGCAATCACAAAGTACATGACTGAGCCTCGAGTAGCCACAGGACGGTATTTTTCACGGGCTACATTTATCTTTTCTTCAGTAGTTTCTGCTTCAACAAGCCTTACTTTAATGGCACCAGATGTAACCTAAAAAACACAAATTCCACATTGTTTTGAGAACTCATATGAATGGGTGCCCTGAACATATCAAACACATTGCTCACTGCTGAAGGGGGGGGGGATGTAATATTTGGGAATACCGGATTTTATGATTGCCCTCTAAAGATATAAAGCTCCGCAAAGGCTATAAAGCTCTACGTGATATGGGTTCAGCAAACTTAAGAGATGGACTCCACCTCTGGTTTTGGCCATGACTTTTAATGTTGCCTAGGAGCATTCATGAAATTGAGCCAACTTCAGAGGACAGCGGAAGACAGGAAGGCCTGGCGGGAGCTGGTCCATGGGGTCGCGAAGAGTTGGACTCGACTGTGCGACTGAACAACAACAAAAGGAGCATTCTTAAAGAGACCATACATGCCCCAATTCAGATTCAGAACCCAGCGAGACATTTTTCCTGGCTGCCCCTTACCTCCAGAATTCCTTGGGGAATCCCCAAGATCTGACCCCCAGAGGGTGTGTGTCAAACCTGATAAGATAGGGGGAAGTGGTTTCGATCTTTTCAACCCTCCACCATTCTGCAAAGCCAAACCAGTACTTTGAAGAAAGATGGGCATCTTCCTTTCTTTTTCCTTTGAAGAGCTAATGCACAGCCACAGTGGGTTGAGTCTAATGAGAGAAACCATGTGGAAATGAGAGAGTTAAGCCCCCTCTCTCCATCCCCCACGTAGCCCTGATCTGAATCAGGCCACCACACAGCTATAATTTAGCTTTTAAAGATGAATGGAGACCTGTGATCCCTCTCTCATGCAGTATAACCCTGTGTCTTTTTGGAGCCGCCTGGTCACTGGATAGCCCCAGTGCAAAATATATGCAGATCTGGCTCCATACCCCTGGACTAGCACTTATAAGAAAACGACCTATTTTACCTAAATGGGCAAAATGAAGTAGGAAGAATTTTATACAGGCAATGAAATTACATGGTGATAACAGTGCGGTTAATGAGAAATACTGGAAAAGCAACAGCTCTGCCTCAGAGGATCAAGAAAATAACACTGACTTCATAACTTCTCTGAATATGGAAAAACAGTACCCATATATTTAAAAAGTATCACTGGGCAACTTGTTCGATATTACTAAACTTCAGCCAAATCCACACATCGTTTATTGGTCTGCAGTGATCAACAGGTTAAAAATTTGCCAATCTAAGCCATGTCACATTAAAAATCTTAGCCCTCAAAAGCCTCTATGATTTATATGGTTTTCAAGAGCAGCTCTTGAATTATTGCAGTTTTAAAGATACATGGTATATTATAATTCAAATGTAGTCAGAAAAGTTTAGTAAGAGATTATGTTTCTAATTGCTGCTTTAGCAGAATTCTTACTCTTAGTGCACAAAATCGCCTTCTTTTATCTCTTAAGGCTGAAATATTGTCAGTAATAGTGAAAGAGTAATTCATTCTCTGGAGCTTCTTCAGCACTTTGCTGAAACTACCTAAAACTAAAAGCCAGCTTTTGCCAAGAGCTGTTTTTACTTCACACAATGCTCAGGGCAGTCTATTTGGGACTTTCAGTGACACTGGAAACTAACTCTGAGTCAGATTTAATCTCTAATGTAACGAGTGAAAGAACTGAGAAATCATGTTTCCATTTCTTCTTTGGAACAAGTGGCAAAAAAATACATGGTGAGGAGACAGCTGTAAGAGGAGATATTGTAATTCTATTACGCTAATTCACAGTGATTTTCTGCAATCCTCTCTCCTATGCAGGCGCAGAGTTTTGGGCTGGGCTGTTACCAGTATGCTGACCATTCCCAGCTATATCTGTTGATGGATGGCCGGCCAGCTACCACCCCTCCTACCGTAACCTGGCTGAGGGACTGGAGGCTGTGGCTGGATGGTTGAGGCAGAGCCGACTGAGATTAAACCCATCAAAGGTCCTGTGGCTGGGAGGCAGCAACCCAAGGTTGGGGTGTCAACTCCCAATTCTTGACGGTGCACTGCTGACACCAGCGCCAACCGTCAAGAGCTTGAGTGTGCTCCCGGAGGCTCAGGTAGCACATGTTGCCAGAATGGCATTTTCCCAACTTCGCCAGGTTAGGCAACTTACCCCCCACCTCTCTAACCCCGACCTTGCCACATTGATCCATGCAGTGGTCACCTCAAGACTGGATTATTGTAATTCACTCTATGTAGGGCTACCCTCGAGGCTGATCTGGAAATTATAGCTTGTCCAAAGCGGCATGGGTACTTACGGGTATCCCAATGACTGCACACATTCGACCTGGGCTTCGCCAACTGCAGTGGCTCCAAGGTGAGTACCGGATCCACTTCAAGGTTCGGGTGCCTGGTAGGCATTCACCTTCCCCTTGCATTGTGGCCCTAGTTAGGATGTTTAAAGGTCTCTGTAAACTGCTCCGAGCCTTCGGGAAGGAGCGGTATATAAATGGAAGTGTAATGTAAAAAAAGGTTCTGGTTCTGACCTTCAAAGACCTTAATGGTCAGGGACCAACATACCTACAGGACTGCCTCTCCTGGTATGTCCCCCAAAGAGCTTTATGCTTGGAAGATCAAAACCTACTTGTGATCCCTGGCTCAAAAGACATCTGACTGCCCTCAACTAGGGCCGGGGTGTTTTTGGCCCCGGCCCTGGCCTGGTGAAACTCTCTACCTAGTAACATTTGTGCCCGGCGGGACCTTGCTCAATTCCGCAAGGCATGTAAAACAGAGATGTTCCACTAGGCCTACAGTTGAGGACAGCAACAATTTCTTATCATGTTTCCATCTGGCCATACCACTCCCAGTCTGTGATCCACCCTGTGGAGGGAGCGAAGTTATACGTACACCATCATTTTATCTGAAAGAATTATACTGTTTTATCTGTTTTTAACTATTTATTGATCCTTTTTTGCTGTTTAATTGTTTATGTTTAATTATGTTGTACACCGCTCTGAGACCTCTGGGGGAGGGCGGTTTATAAATATCATCATCATCACAACAATATAACAACAATAATAGTAACAATAACAATAATATTGGAAAGTAAGGCCCTTGAAATGGGATTATTGGAAGTGGTTTATGGCTTGAAATCCAGAGAACAATATTCAATATGGCAACTATGATCGAAAACATTTATAGCAATAATTACTCTGCAAATTTCACAATATTCACACAAAATTACGCATAATGTAGATTCATAATCCTGAAATGGCACAGGTGTTAGTACATCTCATCCTGTTTCCTTCATTGATGCCACAAGGGTCAAAACCCACCTTAAAAATATAACTAGGTCTAAAAATCTTTCGTCTGTGCAGTGTTTCACACAAGTCCCATATTCTGCAGTTCATTTTGAGTCACAAATACACACACACATACGCACACACACGTATTTTAAAAGCCCCCTGCCTTTGATTCTTGGAGTGTGTTGATGAGTTCTTCCTTGTCCAGGATATTCCCCTCTGATGTAAAAAGCATCTTCAGAATTTTGTCTTCAATGGCTTTCAGCTGATTCTTATCAGAATTAATGCTCACAATGAGCTGGGTTCTTTGCTCCTCCAGCTCAGGTCTCTCTAGGCGCACAACATCGCTAGATCAAAAGTTAAAACATATGGTTAACAAAGGTGGATTATCACATGCAGTACTATACCTTTTCGGCACCATCCTAAGCAGATCTACTCACAACCCTACTCAGATCTATTTAGTGGGGCTTACTCCCATGAAAACATTTTTAGGATTACATGTTACTGTCTTAATAGGCACCAGCATGTACCTAGTGATTCCCAGCCATCTTCGATTAAGGTCCTTGGATCTTAATCTTTCATGTCATCCTAGCAATGTAAGAAATGTCATCAAATATGAAGTAAAAGATGTTTTAGGACATACTAAAATATGTAAGAAAACAGGGTATTAATTCCTCATCCTATTGCTGAAGCAAGCCAGATACGATTTTTACAGGAGACTGGCTTCAAAGAGCATAGAATCCTTCTTTGATTAATACATTTGCTAGACCTAAGGTGAACAGGGAACACAGCAATGTCTTTAAAATACTCTGTAATTTACAAATGTATCTAAATACTTGGATCATGTGTAATTTTTTAAAGAACTCAGACCACTTTCCTCCTGGGGTCTTAGTTCTTAAAATTTTTGAATGCACATATGATCAAAGTGTTTAAATGTTTTGCCTTAGCACTAAAGTACATGACATGACCTTTGTAAACTGTGAGGGCAGGTCAACTCAGAACTCAGTAAGCCAGTCTCATGCTATTCAAGGTGGCTTACTCCCAGGCAAGTGTCTTTAGGACTGCACTGCACCCTGTATTATGAGAGCTGACTGTGGTATCGTTGAAGAGAAAGTATAGGTATTTGGCTTGGGAAATGTATTAGAATAATTAAGGGGGGGGAGCTTTCTGTAAGATATTACTGAGAGACTCAGGCCCAAAGGAGACTTGATGGCATCCACGGGCCCAACCTGTGGACACTGCTGCCACTTAGTGTGATGGGCACTGAGTATTCCCTCTAAGCTGAGTTAGTGTGAGTTAGCTCACAGTTTTTTAGCCTCCGGCTCACACATTTTTGTCTTAGCTCAGGAAGGAGGGCTCCAGAGCAAACTAGTTTATGCAGTAGCCAAATCGCTCGCTCTCAACTTTAATGCCAGTCGCTCACAGAGTAGAATTTTTGCTCACAAGACTCCACAGCTTAGAGGGAGCCTTTTTGAGTGCTGAAATGGCCACACCCCCACAGCTATTTTGGCACTTGAAAAGGTGCCGAGGGGGGACAAGAGTGCCTCAGCCCAATGTGCTGTGGGCCCCAACAGGATCAGGCCCTTGCAACATTTTTAAATAACATTAAAATGGCAGCGGCGTCCCCGTGCCAGTGGACGCTATCATGTCTAACCTGGCCTTAACACCGCAGTCCAAAGCAGAGCTACACCTAACTCCACTGAAGTCAATAATCTTAGAAGGGCGTCACTCAGTTTAGTACTATGAAATCACTCAAATCCTTCAACACATTACAAGGGTTTTCCTACCCAACTTTTTAATTTCCTCTTAATCACCTGGATGCATTTGGCACAGGAGCAAAAATAAAAATAAAATCACAGCCCAACCATTTTTGGGTAATTTTAGCTGACTGTGATTATTCCCACCACCGCCACCACCACCGCTACTGTCAAGCTGTCAGAGCTAGCCGGTTGCTCAGAAGCCAAACACCAGCAATGAGGAAGAAGTGCTTTCAGGATTATCCTGATTGCTCCTGCCAAGGTTCCGTGCTGATCTGGGCGCCAAAGCCCTTTCCCTAGGAAGTGTGTAACCAAGCACTCTAGGCAGGCAGTTCCGTAATATGTGAATGCAAAACAAAATATCCTTTAAAGCAGAACTCTCACCAAAAGCAATTTTATTATAGGGACAGAAATAGCCCAAGAAATCAAAATGCAGGATTCCTTAGGTGGATGCCTTTCTTCGCTGCCAGGCTCAGTAGTACAGAAAAACTGAAGATTGACATGCATGTTTCAAAACTCTTTGGTTTCAGACTATTTAAAACACTGTTCCAGTCATACGGTTCCAATCATACGGTCCCTAGCTCTGGAGCAGCTCAAACCAGACTATCCTCAGGCAGGCAGCAGAGAGAAAAAGCAGAAACACAGAGAGAAACAGAGGGGGAAGGAGCGCAATTGCTACCTATCCTGGCTCTTTTTAAAGCTCTCTGTAAACCACTCAATGAGGAAAGTGCTAGTATTAAACTGTGCATTTTACTGTTTATACCCTTCAAATGTTAAGTAAGCAAATTAACAAATGCCATTGCATATACCTGAACCTTTACATGGAGGCAAATAAAATCAGAATAATTCATGCACATGTATGAGTTCTTCCTTCCAATCACTTATTTCACAGACAAACTACTTCAAGACGACAAATTAGGACTGCAGACCCAGCAGGCATCTATATATCTAATAGCCGAGGCGCCCCCTGCGTGCAGATATCTAGATCCGCACATCGGGGGCACTTGGGGGACAGAGAGATTTTCCTGCACATTTGGGGCAATCCCCAGATGTGCAGAAAAATCTGAAATCTATAAAAATCTATAGGGGGGATACTTAAATCCCCCCAAAAGTAAAAGAGCGTTCCCCGTGCATGCGCAGAGAATGCTCTGAGAACTGCCTCGCTGCCACTGGGGGGGGGGCGGGAGAAGGCTTGGCCAGCTGGCGGCTGTGAGCTGCTCAGACCTCCTCACCGCCGCTGGGGGGGAGGCAAAGCTTGGCGGGCCAGCAGCTGTGAGCCATTCAGGCCTCGCCACTGCTGCTCAGGAGGGAGAAAACTTGGCGGGCCGGCCTTGCCACCGCTGCGGGGGGGGGGGAGGGAGAAAGCTTGGCGGGCCGGCGGCTGTCAGCCACTCAGGCCTCGCTGTCAGGAGGGGGAGGAGGGAGAAGGCTGGGCTCACCTGCTGCTGCTTCTCCTGCTTCTGTAGGCCGGGAGCTGTGGGGAATACTCCCCCCCGCCACCGCAAGTATCACGGGTCCCACTTCTTGTATCTACAAAGTTCCATATCACCAACAGTATACACACAGTGAACTGACTTAACCAGAGGTTCAGAGCAGCAGATTACGCTTCATACTACCAACTTGTACTGAATGTCTCACTGTTTTCCCCTAATGTATGCACTGAAGTCTCTTGGCGCACTTGCCATCTGTCTTTAATGTAAGCAATACAGTGCAATCAGCACCTATGGAGATTTGAAGAAAATCAGCAATTCAGAAACTTTGCCTCCTCAGGTAGAAAGGTACAAAAATCTATACAATTACATGTTCTGTGCTTTGGATAAGTGCTCCCCATAACTACAATTAGAACACCGCACTTCAATGTTGTGCTGAACTCAATGAAAAGAGAAGTGTGAATTTAGCAAACAAACCTTAGCAATTGATCTTCCAAGCCAGATACGGTAACAGTGAAATTGATAATTGTAACTTTGATACACACCTGCAGCAGATGATGAGAGAGAAAAAAACAGCTTATAGTCTAACAATATAATGTTTCTATTAGCATATATTTCAAAGTTCAGTTATGCATTTTAGCGCCATTGGAAGGCATTTGAGTTGTCAACACCCCCAAATTAACACTGAAACCCTAAAGCCAGTCTGTAAACTGCTTAGGATGGCAAGTGTAGGCCACTTCGCTGGACGTTTTCAAGCGGAGGCTGGACGACCATCTTTTGGGTATGTTGCAGGTATGTAGGGCTATCTTTTGACTATGCTCCTGCAGAGTGCAGGGGGTTGGACTAGATGACCTGCAAGGTCCCTTCCAACTCTAACATTCTATGATTCTATGATTCTATGTGCCGGACAAACTCAGAGGCAAGCTGGTGTGGCACTCTACAGCCACTACACGGTTCTAAATCCAGAGCTGGTGATGCTGCTTTGGTACAAGCTACAACTTTCTAGTCTCACGCAGAGCAGACTCAGAAGATGCTCGGGGTGGGGGAATTGGAGAAGGAGGCCTTTGAGTAAAGGCAGTCTGCATAAACAAAGGAAGCATTTTGTGCTGCTAACATTTAAGGAGGAGCATAAATATTGCAACACCGCTACTTTCAGAACCCTCACATGGAACCCAGGACACATTCACTGAGCCTTCACTCCTCTGACTGGGGATGCAAGGACAATGCACCCCGCATAGATAAGCAAAATGCACAGAACAAGAATGTTTCAGGAAGGCATCCTTGTAGAGGGAGCAAAAATGTGGTGTAATAGATCAGCTCAGGAGGTGACTTCTTATTACGGGAAAAAGTTTTTCCTGCTCTGATTGTCCTGTTGCCTTAACCCAGATACATATTTGCATGCACTGTTCTTGTCTGCCTTTCCCCATTCTACAACCCCAGTCCAACTGCATTATTTTGTCTTACTAGGAATCTCTGCTGTTGGATTCCAACGTTATCAGAGTTTATAATCTGATTCCTGATTGACTGAAAGGGGTTTTTTTTAATCGTATTTGTAATCCTGAGTCCCAGTGAGAAAGGTGGATTATAAGTGAGTATCATCGTTATCATCATCTCCTGCTTCACACTTTGTGAATGCTCCCTACTGCCTCCTCTCAACATGTATCTACTATGCATTGGCTCAACAGTTGCTAGCAGCATCTCTCACATACACAACACAGGGTAGGATGCACAGTGCAGAGTGGTCTCTCTCTGGAGACAAGCTGGCAGAAATTCAGGCAGCGTTCTGCCCTCTGTGTAATAGGAACATGGAGTTTTCACATGGTCCCCTACTTTCCTACAGCTCTTTCCAACCCCCAGATAACTTATGGAACTGCAGGATCTGTACAAGGGCACAGCCATAAGGGTTGGTGGGCTGGAGCGAGGAGGGACAAGAGGATGCACTGGGTGGGCCCCTTTTTCCCTCAGTGGAGCTGTGCTTGCACAAGGGGGAAGGAGGAGCAATTTCACCCCCTGGTTCTCCTCAGTCCAGCTCCCCCACCAACCCACGCAGCTGTCACTCCGTGCAGTTCCAAGATCCTGGGAATGATCTTTCCAGTGGTTGGAAGGGGCTGCAAAAACAGAGGATTTCAGGAAAATGGGGCATTTGATGCATGGGGTTGCAGGATACTGCCCAGTATGTGATGGTGACACAACGTCATGCTAGTGTGAACGCACATGAAAGTAGGGGAGAGAGAGAGCCGCTGATAAGCTGGCCAAAGGTGAGCTCTGCCTTATTCCCATCCTTGGAGGGATACCAGCCCCTCACTTCCAATTCCTCCCCCCATGAGCACATTTCCCCAGTGAGCTATTAAGAAGAGAACAGGAACTTCTTGCAACGAGCGTGTTGTCACAGTCCTAGTCTTAATATCCCCAGGCCGTCCCTCCTTTAAAAAAATGGTTCTTTGAGGCATTATTATCCCCTGGAATCTGTGGAAAAGGCCCTGGACTTTCTGTGGGGGTGAGCTGTGTGGGTGTCTGGGCGATATCGATGGAATGTCCACGATTTCTTCCCTGTTCACCTACCTATCCAAAAGGGCACGTCCTTGCAGGAGGGAATCCACACCCCCATCAGCAGAACTCCCCAGAGAGTGGGAGTTACAAGACTCCTACTGGGCACAGCATGGTCCTCCCTAAAGAGGAAGGTGCTGCACTTCCTATGTGGCTTTTCTTGTTCTGTTCTGTGCAGGTGGGACAGGATGGTATCAGGGAGGCGTGCCAGTGTCAGCATTTGTTGGCTGGCTGCTTCTACATATGACTGGTCTGGGGACTTCACCGGCATGCCCCTCCATGTTTGCTGGCCATGGGTGGGTATCAGTATCAAGCCCACTGAGGTTGTTATGCTCCGTGGAGTTGGATCCTTTTTTTTTTTTTTTTTTTTTTTTTTTTTGTTGAAAGAGCAGAGGATACCAACTAGCTAGACTGGCACCATGCCAAAATCAGTACTGAGCCATTGTTAAGGGCTTAGCCTTCAGTTGCCCATATCCATCTAGATTTCTGGGAGGAATGATATTCCAAGTCTCTCTTCTTAAATTTTCAGACACATTTGCAATGTTCCCTCTAAGCTATGGAATCTTGTGAGCAAATAGTCTACTTTGTGAGCTACTGGCATTAAAGTTGTGAGCGGGCGATTTGGCTACTGCATAAATTAGTTTGCTCTGGAGCCCTCCTTCCTGAGCTAAGAGCAGAATCTGTGAGCCGGAGGCTAAAAAACTGTGAGCTAGCTCACACTAACTCAGCTTAGAGGGAACACTGCATTTAAGTACACTTGAAGTTAAGAGAGGGGAAAACACACCGCGCTCCTAAAAGCACCTTATTATTGCTGTTGTTGTTATTGAATAAATACGTTTTACAACATTAAAAAAGGCAAAACTGAAATCATGCTTGAAAAAATTATACTAGTATTTAGAGGAGTGGTGTGGTTGAAAAGCTTTGAAAATACATCTGGATCCCGCAGAGCAGCTAGGTTGAGACCTACTCCTGTATTTCTCAGTTCATTGCAAAAACCAACCAAGCTAACAGCCTCTGATGAGGCTTGACAATCAGGAGAACTGACAATGCTCTGACAAATTTCAGCAGCGGAGCTGTGCTGCTCATTAATTTTCGAACAGTCATATAGCAACTGTGCCGCGACTTATTTCTGTGTCTTGACAGGGCCAGGAACGGTAAATACATTTTTTGCTTTTTAAATTGTTAAATCAGGAGGCCCCAGTCACACAATCAAATCACTCTATGGAGATGGTAGCAAGAACAGCAATTTTGCATCAAACCTCACCCTGTTGTGCATTTTTCTGCCCCACCCCAAGTCATAGGCTTGGATCCAGGGGAGGGATTTCTTAAATTGGGAAAGGGAAGGAGAGTTTCGCCAAATCCCCTTTCCTGCTACAGTCTGCCAACCCTCACAAGCTGTTCCCGCGAAACCTGTTCCCCCCCCCCCAGGAGCAGCATTGAGAGGGTAGGGAATTCCCATTTCTGCCTGTGGTGAGAGGGTAGGGAATTCCCATTTCTGCCCGTGGTGAGAGGGTAGGGAATTCCCATTTCTGCCCGTGGAAATCTCTGGTGGATCCAAGCCATCATTTAGTCCTGCTGGAAAATGCATGATGAGGTCACAACAAGGCAAGCGTTCCACACTGCAGAGAAAAAGGAAGGCCGCAAATAGGGGTTCTGTTTTCGGCAGCATCCATGGGTAGCTTCAGTGGCTAGACTGTTTCACTTGAATAAAGGAAACTGGCTGCTCTGCAATCCCAAGAAGATTGATTCCCTTCTAATCCCACTGACTTCAACACACTTAGAAGGGTGTCACTCTGTTTAGAATTGCACTGTCAGATTCCAATCCCCCCCGTTAGCTGCAAAGCTCTCTAGCTCACAGAAAGTCAAAATCTCTCAGATTTGCTTGGATGCCACGAGGAAATACTGACACATATCAACGAATAAAGTTGTCCGTCTACTTAATGGTATCTTGGTAAGGTCCCAAATTACTTTCACTTTGGTATGTAGCCACGATATATTTGTGCGCATTTGAGAAAATGTCCAAAAAGATAACATTCTCTCTCACTAATGAAAAGTCTCTATCACCAAGAGAGAGAGAGAGATGGAGGTACGCTTGATATGACTTTGGGAAGGTGAGAAATCATTTGAGAACTAGTCACAGCACATCGTCTTTAAAACTCTAAGTAACCACTTATCTGGCTGTGTTGAGATCAATTTCAAAGTGACAGTCATACCTCAGGCAAGTAGTGTGGATTTGGCATTTTGGTTGTCATGTAGAACCTAAAATTCCTGTCGTAATCTATGTCCGAGTCTCCAAGGCGAATGAGCATTCTCCCACCGGAAATAAAAGTCTGCTTCAAAAGAATGGGTTCCAGAGCTGGGTCCAGTGTTTCTTTAAGCTATTACAATGAGAAAGTGAAGCACTTTTACATACTTATGGATACCAACAAGCCCGGATCCCCCTTTTCCACAGCAGCCAATCTGATGCTTCTGAGAGGCCAATAAACAGGGCAGTGAATACAAGAGTCCCGCACTGCTGTGACCAAAAGCAACTGATATTCATAGCTATGCTCTAAACATGGAAATTCCATTAAGCCGTCATGGCTAAAAGCCATTGATAGATCTGTTCTCCATGAAATCGTTGGATCTCCTTTTAAAGATGGCCATCACCACATCTTGTGTCAGTGAAATCTTTTAAAGATGTCTAAGTTAGTGGCCATCACCACATCTTGTGTCAGTGAATGCAGTGAGTTAATTACATGAAATACTTTCCTTCCTCCCCCTTTCTGAACCTAGTACCCATCAGTTTCACCATGTGAACACAAGATGTAGTATTATGGGGGAGGGTGGAAGTTCTCTATCCACTTTCTCTCCCCTCCCTTCCCCGTTATAACCTTACACAATTTTGAGTATTCTCTAACATTCCTCTTGGGTGTATGGTTAGTTTTACTTCTTTATAGTTCAGTGAAATAGGCAGTTGATGTGTCAATGTTACAACATTCCCAGTAATAAAAGTGGCCATGACCATGACAATCAATGCAAACAAATTGATATGAACCACTTAAGTATAGTGGCTGAAAACCTGAGCAGTAATCCAGAAAGTCCCTGGTTCAAATATCGTCTCAGTCATGCAGTGGTCTCGGTCAGTCAAATCACCCTCTATAAATTCACCCCACTCCTCTGCCATGGGGGGATAATAATGTTGCCAAATATGCAGGACTGTTGTAAGGCTTGCTGAGCCTAAGTATACAAAATGCTCTGAATGCTCAGAAAGTTCTATATAAACACAGAGTATTTCTATTAAACAACAAAACACATACTAAAGCCCACCAGCACTCTTAGTTCAAAGTTAGATAGGGGTTTCAGCAACCACAACAGAACATTTTGTTTGTGGATTTTTAGATGTATTTAAGGACTGCATCAGTAAAAGACCATAGTGAAAAACAAAAATAATATGAACACAAAACAAAATGTCTAAACCTGACATAATAAAAACTGATAAATCATCACAGAGTATTGAAAGGCAGTGATCATGGCAAACAGCTGCAGTTCTTTCAGTTATGATTAATTTCAGTTCTTTGACAATTTAGCTTGACAGTTTGCTGCAGCTAAAGAAAAAAGCCAAAGCCCAAAGAAAAACAGGTTGCTTACCTGTAACTGATGATCTTCGAGTGGTCATCTGTGCAGTACCACACAAGGGTTGGGTGCCTGTGCATGACCTCGATCGGAGAAACTTGTAGAGCTTTACCTCAGAAAGTCTTTTGGCGGGCTCTCTTCCCACTCCAGGGAGCAGGCACGTACTGCATATGCCTGGAGTGGGGGAGAGAGCCGCCTCCCACTCAGTTCCTTCGACCGAGGGAGCGGTGGCGCAGGCAGTTAATGCCTGCTTTGTAACAACGTTCGAGCAGCCACTATGGCTGTTTGAGTACCACCGCGGTCGAGGTGAGCTCTCGACCCTACTCCCAGCTCTCGCCTACCCAGCGATTCGAAAGCAACTTAATTGCAAGTAGATAAATGGGTACCCACCCTTAGTAGGGTGGGGGGCACCCCTGCCTGGCGTGGTGGCTGAAGACGGCTGAAGACAGCGGCGGCGGCAGCGGCGGCGAGGTGACGGTTCCTGTGTGGATGGCGTAGCGTGGCGATGCGGCGGCG